ATAATATATTATAATCTTCTTCTAGTTAATCAAAATTATAAAAAGAAATTTTATATAGTTCAAAAAATTATCTATTTTTATTTTTGTACAATTATTATCTTACTTAGCATACTTATATACTCTCATGTATGTATGTAACAATATGTTTATAAAAATAGTTTTGATATACATTATATTTTAAATATAATAGTAAAGGAAGTGAAGAAATAAAAACACAATAAGTAAGAATGAAAGCACAATAGTTTATTACTAGCTTAAATGACTAGATGACTAGAGAACTTTCCCTTTTAATTCTAAGACAACATGTACATAGGACATTCTCCTGTCTCATGCGATGAGAATGCGGAGTTGCGAATAGACGGTTGTAATCAATTAGTCTTTGGAGGCGCTGCATTGTTGGCTTCGTCATGGAACCAACCGTTTCAGACTTTCAATGAATAGTCGCCGCCATGAGAAGTTTTTAATATATTGTTAAAAACCACAATAAATTGCTCTAAATTGATTTATCAATTATTTAAGCATTTTAATTGACGATAAGCATTTTAGTTGACGAATCCATCCAAACCTCCATAAATCTCTCTCTCTTTCACACACACACACACACACACACACACACACACACACACACTTTCTCTCTTTCTTGACGAATTATTTACAAAAATTAATTAATATGTCCGTCGCGATTAAATCTAAAGAGGATTATTTCAATAATTGATGATAATATATGATGCGAAAGACCAGGGAATAAATATACAAATTTCAGTAATGTAGACGAAGTCCGGTTTACACAAACAATCGTTAAAACCCCGCGCCTAAGAATTTGTGCTCACTTTTCATTAATCATGGCGATCATCACTTTGTGCAGTATATTCTTTATAATTAATTTAAAAAATAGTATTTAAATAATATTTTAATAATCCGCTAAAATATATTAATTTTTTTAAGTAATTTCAAGCTAGTTGTTTTCTGGTTAGTTTTTTGCCGCCTAGTACGTTTAAGTTACATGGCGATTTTTTCGCCACCGCAGCAAAATAAGAGAAAACCGCACGTGTGCGCGGGGTCTGTGCAACAGAATATATGATTAGTTCAATGTCTTCTACGTGGTCTTCGTTGTAGTTGTCGTTGTTGTCGTAGGAATCGCCTTCGTTGTTTTCGACGATTCCACATTTTGTTTCGACACGTCCACTGTGGCCGTCAGCGGCTTTTTGTTCACATCGCATACTTTTCTAGCTCGCCAATAATCTGTAACAAAAATATTATATCGGTTATCATTAAATATGTATTGTTTAACTTTATATTACTCGAGCGATTTTTTAACGTATTTAAAACTCACGTGGAGCATTTCTAACATACCAATATTACATCACAATTTTTATTGTTCTCTTTGGTTTACAATTAAAATAACGATTGATAATATTCTACATCTTTTAGATGAAGAAATATAAATGGAATTTTTTTCTAAATTGAAATAATTTATTCTAAATATTACATATCTATAATGATTATAATAATATTTATTATACATTTATTATACATTTAGCGATTTTATAAAGGTGACTCCAGGTAACATCGTCAATGTATGTCACATTAGCAAATATTACGCATACACATATGCACATACATGCACAATATAAATGTAGGTCAATGTTTAGGGAATGTGTGCAAAGTTGGCGTACATTGGCCATGTCATCTGGAGCCACTTTAAAGCTAAACATCCTACGCAAGTATAGGTAGTGAAAGATTGAGCACCATAAAAGGTAACGATACTGATATTACGGTGTGTGTGTGTGTGTGTGTGTGTGTGTGTGTGTGTGTGTGTATATAAATATAATAAAAGTGAAATTAATAAAGAAGTCATTTGTTTTGCAGAGCTATTCTGTAACTCTTAACTTAAGTTATCGTTATAACGTTGCGCAGTTTTTTTTATCATGGTAAACCTGTTCATTCCTACGTTTCGCATCAAATAGATATGTATCTCTGCGACGGAACACGTAAAGCTTCTTTCGTAATAAGTATATACTCAAGATTCCGTAATAGTTGAGGTTTCATGGATCGATGGGGTCAGGGGACGTAGAGTAACCTGTATAGGAACACTGTGTGAGAGAAGTATGAAATTTCCACAACAAAGACTGCGTCTTAGGAGCACCCTAGTTCGATCAGGTAGCCACCTGAGTGCTCTACCCTCGTTTCTTTCTGCTTTTCTCTCTTTTTCTGACTGACTACTTGACAGGTGCGACTTAATGTTAGCAATACCGGTTTGGAAATCTGCTCTTTTCTCTGATATTCTGACAAAAATATGAAATGCATAAAAATCACATTTACACATCTTTTATTTTGTGACCAAATCTGTAAAAAGACTATTGATTCACCAAACAAAGTATTCGCATCCATGATTTATAGTTAGCATTAGATTCGATTAAATTTTCATTTATTTACAGCTCAAACCATATTTCACATTATTGCGATCACGTTCTTGCAACAGCTACTTTGACCAAGTTTGAACATCTTGGTTGATATTTACAATGGAATATGACTTAATCGGGTGAGATCCGATAACATGGCATTTAAAATACTGAGGAATATTAGCATTTGTGAATCGATATAGTAAATAGAGTATGGTCCAAATCGATGTAAAAAAGACTGAAAAAATCCTCAACTGCCATATGTCGAAGACATGATCCTTTCTCTGCGCTTCTCTCTTTTTGGCAACGGTCCGCCATATGGTGCGCGAAACCAAGTTCTTCCTCAACCAACATCTCTCTCTCTCTCTTTCTCTCTCTCTCCTCTCTCTCTTCTCTGTTCTCCAGTCGCGTTTACGATTTTGCTTGTCAACATCTGTTTCCACGCCTCAACGTGCCGCAAAATAGATCCTAGATGCGTCGAAAAAAGCTCGACGCTTACCTGTCCATATGTCTCGAACGTGATTCCACCTCGAAAATTTTCTTTTGTTCGCGGATCCGAATACGGTCCTCCTGACGCGTTCTTTACTCGAGCGAAGGATTTCGTTTGAATCCTGCGCTCTATAAGGCGTTTTCGATTTTACGGGGAAACCACACGAACGGATCACAAAGTCTGCTAAATCGCAATTGAAGGAGCCCTTTGTCAACATCTCAAGATCAAGAATATCGAGAGTTTTTTATTCTTACGACATGAAAAATAATGCTGCGATTATCCTTATTCGTTTTGCAATACAATCCGTGTTTATTTTCCCTTCAGTATTAATTGTAGATGAAACGAGAGTACGTTTGTGATCATATATTTTAAACCAGATAGATATAAAAGATGATAGTTCAGATATTTCTTTATTTGACAAATTTATTTATTGCATGTAAATCTTAATTATTTCTTTTAACCTCAGAGTAAATACAAGAATGTATATTAAAATTGTTACGATAATTAGTTATAAAATATTTTAAAAAATTAAGTATTTAAACATGTAAAAAATTAAATAATTAAACATGTATGTGTTAAATGTGTGTGTGTGTGTGTGTGTGTGTGTGTGTGTCTTATGACTTTATGTTATGAGATTGATAAAAATTTTATTCTTAAAGATATTAGATATGTAGAGCAGAAGAGTGCGAATTAGTGTATTTGCATCAAATACAACTTGTCTCAGCAGGTGGTGGTGGGCGACCTTCGTAAGGTCCCGCGCGACACAGTATCGCGTGTTCGCGAGTCTGATTTAATCGTGGGAAAAGACGTTCTAGTCGTCATGGGCCCTTAGCAAGGGCCAACAGGTGTCGGTGGAAAAAGAGCTAGTTGCGCCGTCCCGCTCTGTTAAATTTTCGAGGGTCTCGTTGTGTTCCAACCCAAGAAGTCATCGTGTGGGGGATTATCAGTGCAAATAGGCACAGGATCTCGAGGTTGAGAAATCATAGGGTTTTCCCCACCTCATAGGTAAAATTATCGCGTACGCGTGTTTCAACGTACGAATGATTTTTTTAACTTGCAAACCAACAATGAATTCCTATATAATTTCAAAAAGAATATTAGAGCCATTCTACACGCTGATTGAGGAATAAATAGTTTTTTTTTAGAAATCTATCTCCCAAAGCAACAAAAGGAACAATTTTATTGGAGTATCTAAAAATTGTGCTACATGTAGATCTGAAGATAATCTTGTATTATCAAAATAATTATGTAGAAAACCCAACACACATAAGTACATATGATGAGCGATGTTGTGAAAAGTTTTGATAATCTAACAACTAATCTAAATCCTAATTATTTTGATAATGTACAACAAAATTATTTTCAGATCCAGCTAAATTTTTAGATATTTCAAGAAATTATTCTTTCCGTCGAGGCACACTTAATCTAAGGGCGTGCAACCTGGTCGATAATGTTGGTTTCATATATAATAACATGCAATATTTTGCACTTGGTCGAAGAAATGATATGTCCATTGTGCATAAGAATTCATGCGATAAGTCGAGAGAAGTGGGCTTGATTGCATCATGCCTGAAGAATCCAAGGAATGCAATCATGAGTTTCTTTTACTCCTTGGAAATTGGCCCTTCGATGACTCAGTATCCTACAGGTACGTTGTCACGCCTGCCTTAGATACGTGACTCATAGGAGTGATCTCATTCTCGATCGCTCTTTCTCTAACTGCATTCTGCATGGACTGGCGACCGATCGCTTCTCACGATCGTACACCACACGTGTCCACTTATCTTTTCGTGATAACGCGAGTATTTTTTGTAGTATATATTTGGTTGTTCCATAGAAACCATTGAATATCTTCTCGAATAAGATAAAATTATGAAGAAAAAAAAGTATTGTAAAACAAATTTTTCCAATAAAACTATATTTAATAACAAATTTAATTTTCATTGAAT